AGTGAAAACGATCGAAGCCGTCAATGAAATGTTACAAGACACAAAAAATCCCGAAACAATTCAATTATGAATGGTTAAAACTTGCGCAAGTATATTGAACCACCATTAGCAACGAATTGATCGGTGAGACTAGATTCTCAGAGAACATTTCCCTAGTCTTGCACTAGTCTCCATTACTGGAAAAAAGCATACGCCTTTCGAAATCTCTTCGAAGGAATCTCTTAAGCTTTCTATTTAGTCTATTCATATCGCTCAACTTACAGGCACAGTCTACCCAACTTAATTTAAGTCCCATTTTACAAGGTGCGTCAGTACTGTTATTATCTAGTGTAACAGTCAAGTCCTCAATATTTTTTTGGATTTTGCTCTCTAAGATAGAGGTTAATCTGCGATTATTTGTTAAATATTCAGCTGATGGGTCGACGTTATTTGACGTTTCGTATACGCGGAGTCTTAAGCCAACAAATAACTGTTTTAGACAGTGTGCAAAGTTTGTTAACCTGATTCTTACTGTATTATAGAATGCGTTACCAATGATGTCATTTGTAGTACGATTTAATTGCTAGTCAAACGTCACTGGACTATTGGATGGTCTAAGCTGATCGTGGCGAACAAAGGGCAGTTATCTTTTATTCGTTAAAATATTGTTAAGTCATGCTGGAACTATGCTGATTTCGTTGGTCGAGTTCACTGTAAAATGTCAACTGCCTGCACCCTATCATCCGAAGTTCCAATGCATGGGTACTGCTGTTCTTAATGCGCTAGCGACGTGACATTAAATCTTACTGCTCTTTATTCGATGCTATCCCCAATGTCACTTCGAATGGCAAGGAGCGGGAAACGGGCAATTCTTCTTAAAGTTGTCACCATAGACATTCCCATTCTTTGAAACGACGTCTTAAGTGATGGACACGATTCACAAACTTTTAATATCTAAGCATTTTAAGATTTGTGGTGAATATCACGCCAAACAGGAAGCGCCCGTACCAGGGGTGGCTTTATGTTAAAGTCTAGGGGTACTGCGTTTAAGGTTAAGATTTTGAATAGAGTAAAAGGTAGGTTTAGGATTAAGGTTGGAATCGGGTTTAGGGCACGGGAATATTTACCTTTTCTGGCATTTAGCACATGGTCACCTGTACTGTACCGGCAGACTTTTTACTTCCCGTGAGAGCGTTTTGTGCTCAAAGAAAGGAATTTTCACTTAAGCTGCTCTGACAGAAGCGAACAGGCGAAACAGTTCAGAAAGAGGACCTGCGATCGGTGGAACAATAAGTTTACTAGCTCGACGTTTCGGACACTCGCCTGAATGTGTGATCTGATAATTAGATTGGGCATGTGGTTGCATTGCAACAACGTCCAATTAATGCAGTACCCCTGACGCCCTCATCCCATTTATCCGTAAATGTCTATGATAATGGGTTCGGGCGAGGATCGAAAAATGTCGGATCAATCAACGCCAGATTCTAGCGATCACGTATTCCTCTTCTTCGTCTGCTGAACTTCAATTGAAGGAAATGTTCATTAAATGTCCTATTGAATGCATGCTTGCGCAACCTGCACTCTTAATGCACGCACATTTGCGTTCCGGTACCATATGGTAATCAAGGTTAGGGTAGGCTGCATGAAGGCCGAAAGCGACGGGTAACGCGTTGCAGCAACACATCTACGTGGTTGTCGATATCCCTTCTGTAGTTGTTCGCAGTCTCAAATTCTTTTGGATGCTTTATTTAGTTTAGCCCCATTTGGAATAAAACTCGCCGCCTTCGGCGGGATTTGAACCCGCATAGCAGGAAAGGACTTTACGCAGCCAACTCTCTATCACTTGAGCTACAAACACCACGTCTTGCGCCGTGAATTTAATCACACTTGGATCTTTTGAATGCAACGGGTTGTGAACGGTGTTCAAACAGATTCACAAAACTCTAGGACAAAAATGACACGTGTGCCGAATCTTATTGATATGTAAAATACACTAGTGCTGTTAATTAATGCCACAACCAGATTGCAGCGGTTTTCAATTAACCAAATTAACTTTTTACCACGCAGTATATACCAAGTTCAATATTTAAATTTTCGTCTACATTGCAGAAATTTTTTTACGACTCAGTAATTATCCAGTCTTCTACAAACGCTGTTGCTTTGCTAGTTGATGAAATTTGAACTGGGATTGAACTATTCAATGGTATTTCACTCTCCATCCCGACGATTTATTCCGATAATGAGACCATACATGGGGGTCTTGTTTTAAATCTTTTATCTATTATTTGAAGACGCATGGCGGCGCGAGTATGACTAGGCTGCTAACAACACCACCTTAATTTTCAAAAATATCAGTGCTTTCCTCAAAATTCCACTTAATTGTAATCCCTGAAACTGCAGTAAATTTATGGTATTCTGCCTACTAGGCCAGGTCAGCTGCCGATGGTTTAGATTGAACCGCAAGCTCGGTATGGCCACCTTAACAGGACCTAGGAAGAGAAGCCATCCGCAGTACGCATGGCTTTGCACCAATTTTCGGAAACCTTAGGTTTAGGAGGAAGGTGAGGGATGAGGTTAATTTTAGGCTTACGTTTAAGATTTGCGTTAAGGTCAGAGTTGGGGTTGGGGGTCAGGAGTATGTTAATGGATAACGTTTGGGTTCGTACTAACTACAGGGTTTAGATGCAATGTAGGGCGAGGGTTAAGATCAAGGTCACAATTAAGTTTTAAGGTTAAGACGCTGGGATATTCATCGCAAGGCTCACGTTTAAGTGGGCGCGGAGTTCTTATTCTCGTGTCCTGTTTAAGCGATCATACAGGGTATACTTTCTGAAAGTTGATCTTTTAACCGGCGGTTTATTTCGTAGTCCTATGCAGAGTATAGCAGCGTCAATGCCCAGGTGAACAGCAATCCTGCACATTTTCCAATTATTTTATTGAGGGTTTTCCGTTCAACGCCGGAAGTCAGGTTGTCGACCACATTACCACCAACTTTCAACTAATCAACACTTTTACAGTTCTATGTAAAAAATAGCTGTATGGTTACTTGGGATTGGCAACAATTTCTGAACTAATGGTTATTAAACGGGAACTAGCATTTTTATTCTAGTTAAAAAATACCATCAGATACGGTAGTTTTGCAGTGAAGATCAAATGGCAACTTCGAGATTTTTACCGTCTCACTAATGAAAATATGCTAGCTTCAAAAAAATCATCTTTCTAGCTGTGCATTATAGGATACATGCAGGTTTTCCTACTGATGTTTCATAAAATTCACATTAGATTTTAGGGTCTAACATGACGGTTACTGATGTTTGAGACAACGTATTTACGACCAACTGCGGTTAGGGTTCCCTGCCCGGACCTATTTACTGACCAGGATACTTTCGTTGGCGTTGAGGATCCAAAGTTATTGCATCCTGCAGGGAACGTAATGTGATTAGTTATCTGTCATAAACAAGAATTGTTTATATTTACCCTGCACTCAAGTTGGATGGGTGAAAACCACCCTAACCTGACAGAGATTCATCCTGTTTCTCCATTGTTAGAGCGTCACAGCCAATGCCTCACTAGATCCGAGTCCAAATCCAGGGTCATGATGGTCTGTGAGTTGACTTATAGTGGGCTAGCGACGGTAAGTAGGTCCGATGTTGGCAATTCAGTTACCACATTTTCTGCCAAAAATCCATGTTTGCGATAACAGCGGTTTATGGAGTACTATTACTCCCCGCTAAGTATTCACGCTCTGTACTAACGCTTCAGGCCACAACCCAATGCGAACGAACGCGTCTCACTTGTGAACGGGTGAACTATTCGTCACTTGCGAACGAAAATGGGGTAACGTGGATGCAATTCGTTCGTTTGTGTGTGAGATTGCTTAAAGGTTGACATTGAGCAAATTGAATTTTTACGCCCTCCGCCCCCTTTCTGCCGATAGACGGATCGGATTCGCCTCGAACGGGCTCGCTCGGAGAAGGCTGCAGCCTTGAAGATGAGTGCTGCGCTGGAGAACCGTTGCGCACAGCTAGAATCCGCCCTCCGGTCCAGAGCAC